TTATTTTCATAAAAAGAGTAATTAACTCAAAACTTCAATAAAAAATGTAAAATGATAAATAGCCATCCTATTTAAATAAAACAGAAAAAGGAAAAGAAAAATTAAAGAATAAATTGCAATTATACTCCGAAACTTTTTATAAAACTACAAATGAGTCCAAATAAATTATTAAAGGGGTAATTAATACAAAATGTTCATACATTTCAATATTATTATGCAAAATGTCCATATATATTATTTTTTTGACAAATTTTTACTTTTACTTTCATATTTCATTGTGGAATTCACTATTTTCATACATTTTTTTTTGAATTAAAAGCTATACAATGACGAATATACCGTCCTATTTAAATAAAATAAAGAATAAATTGCAAATATACTCCCAAATTTTTCAAAAAAATACAAATAAATTTCAAGTAAATAAACCAAAACAAAAAAGTAAAAAAAAAAAAAAACTTTCTTTTTTACTTATTTATTTGAAATTTATTTATACCTTTTTGAAAAATTTGATAATATAGTTGGAATTTATTATTTTTATTATTTTTATTCTTGTTTTATTTAAAAAGGAATATATATTTGTCATTTTATATTGTTTATTAATAAATTGGATGAAAATGACATTTTTCACAATGAATTATGAAAATAGGGGTGAAAATGTCAAAAAATGAAATATAATAAAGTTTTGCACAATAATATTGAAAGGTAAGGACGTTTTGTGCTATTTACCCTTTTATCAAATGAAGGCCAAAGAAACCTCAATATGTTTTTTTTTTAAAAAATATCACAATTTATTTTTTGTTAAAAATATTCCACAACTTACGTATCATTTTTTAAAAAAAATGAAAAAGACGTACAGAAACAAAATCTTCACTTTGGAATCGCCAAGACTTCTATAAAAATATCTGAGGAATGCTACATGTATACCCAGATTTAGTACTTGGGTGACATAATGCAGAAGGTGGTCAACTTGAGTGTATAAGTAGCATAAATGAAAATATCTAATCAGATAATATTTTTTACTTGTCAGCCACCTTCTCATATAAATAAAATTAAATATTCAATTCAAACCACTAGTGGACCCAATTTTTTGCTCTAATTTTTATATGGAGCTTGAGGCAATTTTTTTTTTGTTTCTCGTCAATTTTAATTCAGACTCTTTAACAGATAATTGATAGATATTTATAAAATATAAAGTATATTTAGGAAGTGTTTATAGACGCTTTAAATTATAAAAATATCTTCAATGTTAATGTGTATAGTAATTATGAAATTCTTAAAATGTGTGAATAAAATATGATTTAATTATTTATATAAGATTAGGCTGAAGATGAAAGTGTCAAGAATAAACCACATAGGGCATATTTGGCTATGCTTTAAAAGTTTGTTTATATGAAAATAAATAACATTTAAAAAAAAAAGTATTAATCAAAACTAAAAATACATAAATAGCTTATTTACCGTACAATTTTGTCGTTTGTTTATTCGGGGTGACACTCCGCATATACAAATATCTAAGTTATTTCCAGTAAGCTTGGAAAAATAATGTTACCAAAATTGGCTCAATTTGGCCTGTGCAACTGGTAAATTTGGGAACTGAGACCAAAATCGAGCCATATCATGTCCGGTTAATCACTTATGACTAAGACGCTTAAAAATCCATTGAACCGGCTGATTTAATCGTAAACCGGTGAATCGGTCGCGATTTTATGATTTTCCCAATTTTTTCATAATGAAATTTCAACTTCATGAATGATATTCATAAACAACAATTCAAAGGTCTATAGAGAAATATTGGATGACATACTCCTTTTATAGATGCATCTCTCGTAAATGGTTTATAAACTTCTAATGTGGGATAATGCATTTTATAGATGCACTTCTTTTCAATAATTTCATAAACATCCAATGTGGGTAGTGACATAACAAAAATGTTAACAAATTATATAATAATGAATCTAATTAACAAATTATTAATATAATTTTTTTTAAAATTATTGTTTTTATTATATTTTATTATTTTTGTGTTTATTTATTGTATCTGATTCGACTTCGATTAAACCTTCTGACCCTTCAGGGTTGATTTTCAAAACATTGTAGAAAAATAAAAGCTACTTTTTGTGTACAAAGTACAAACAAATTTGTACAAGTTTAAAATCAAATACAAGCTTTTGAATAAGAAAGACTAGTCGATACATAGTTGATGCAGATTTCTTATCATCGAAAGAAAAAAAAAATTGCCAATCCCACCCACATCAGTTGCCCTATCTATTCCAATTTAGTTTTCAGATTCGGTCGAAGGTCAAAATAAATAACTTTCTTAATCCCCTTTTTAACTAATAAATATTATTTATTACAAAACAAACTTATTTACTTCTAAGCTTTACTAATAAACAAACTTTTCAAGCTTAGCAAAACTATGTACTTAAGAAAAATTAAATTTATTTAAACATAATAGGATAATGTTATTCGTTATCGCTCATTAAGAAAGTCTCTCTGCGTGAGATATACATAAGGAAGGTGATTAGTTGACACTACCATGTGAATGCCATGTAATTCGATTGACTTAGTGAGTATATGTGAATACTATTGTTCTATTAGATAATAATAATAAAAAAAATATTGCGGGCCACGCTAAGAGTGTATGTATGATACATGGATGGCCATAGCATGACACATGGCTTCTTGAGGCATGAGCAAAATATCACTGCCACCTATGCACGTGAGAGAGCAGATAAAGATCTCTCTCTCTCTCTCTAATCTTTCTCCACTCGACCTATCTAATGTTTTGAGTTAAAAAAAATAAAAAATCACTCAACTGTAGTTCCTCATAATTGTTTATCTCCAGACACACGATTTGTGATTTTCCTTTTAATTATTATATTTGATTTGATATATATAATTTATTTATTTATTATTATTTTTTTTTTGTGTTACTTAATTTCAACAAAAAGAAAAATAGAGGCTATATAAATATTTATGTCTTCACGAGTACCAATTAGCATTCAGAATTTATTGATTTTAAGGTATGAAAAAAATTTAAGTTGAGTGAAAACTCGTAATTATGCATTTTAATCTATTTGAATTATCATATCTTCAAGCGGTTCAATATAT